TCAATGATTGCTGCATACTGTACTGTATAATTAATAATTTAATACTGACCACTGTATACTATCTGCTTGTACTATTTACTGATAAACTGACTGAATGATTGACTGCTTAATGAATGCACTGTCTAACTGTTTGACTATTACTCTCATACTGCCTTACTGTAACTGTTAACTGTTCAACTGTAACTGTCTTAATTTACTCTTATACTGTCTTGAACTGTCTAATCAATCCTTGCTCCAAATTACATCGTATTTATATGTTTTCATCGTTCCCGAATATTCTAGCAATAGATCATGTTCGAATTTGTTCTATTTCATCAATATCTGACTGTTCTCGAATAGTCTACCTCGCAAATAGGGTTAACTGTCCTATATTGACGTTTTCTAGAGAATTATTTACCCTTCTATCGAGAATTTTATGGACATTTAGGCTTTCCAGATCAGAATGTACATTTATATATAAACTAAACATCTTAAAATAATTCATAAGACTATTTTACATCCGTAATTATTATTCAAATGTCACTTATTCAGTTCAAAATTAATCTTCTGTCATTATAATACAGTGTATATTTAATGGGTATCTATAATATTATAATTATTAAAATAAAACTTGCTACACTTATTATTATGCTAATTTCTTAAAAATACCCTTATATAAATATTTTTTTTAATATTTTTTAGTCTTTAACTTATAAATTATTTCTTTAATCACTATTTAAGTTTATTAGTTAAAAACTCATAATATTATTATGCTAAATTATTCTACGAGTACATCTATTTTTATCTCAATATATATATATATATATATATATATATATATATATATATATATATATATATATATATATATGCATTTATAAATTACGACGAAATATACTAAACATATATGAAAAGAGTAAAACGTTTACTGTAATTAAAACGAATGAAATAAGTTATCCGTTTTCCCTTTTTTCTAAAAACTCATATAGCATGGGATATCTCTAAAGGGAAAGGGATTAGCCAGCAGTAATCCACGGCTTACACATTACGAAGTATGATGTTGACCCATTGAGTATATGAGACAATTTCACAGCCCGATGAATTTATAAAGTTGTGATATATATATATATATATATATATATATATATATATATATATATATATATATATATATCCAGTGAGCAGGTAAAGGTTTACTGTTCGAGTTATGACGTCAATATGTTTTTTTAAATGGCCGTACTTTATTATATGCAGACGATTACATCCTTAAAGTGGCATAAAAAGAACAATTAAAACGAATATTACAACAATTAGACAAACAAATCCGAAAAATCCAGAAGCATCGAATATGAAAGACAACAGAAAAAAATTGATAGAAAATCAAGACAAAGACTTAAAAATTCTAGTTTTTACAAAACATAATAGATAATAGATATTAGATAAGATAACATTAAGTTAAATAATGGCAAAAAAATACAAATAAATTATGAACAAGATTGGCATGAATATCGTTTGGTAACTTGGCTAAATATTAAAAAATAAAAATTATCCTTAATATCTAAAAAAAAACTGTTTCACCAGTACATCCCAGTTGTCCTTATATATGAATCTCAACAACACTAGACATTCACAAGAGATAATACGGATAGAAAATTAAATACACAAAGAGCAATGGAAAAACAAATAACTAACATATGACGACTGTAACATAGACTGACTTCTACATCAAATAATGTAGAAAGATAGTCTATTTTGGACACGTAGTAAGGGGAGACCGATATAATATTCTTCAACTTATTATGATTGGTAAAATCGAAGGACGCAGAGGAATTGGTAGAAAGCAGGCCTCTTGGTTGAAGAATATCAGGGAATGGACAGGAATAAGGAAAGCTGAGCAACTCTTTAGAATAGTTTGAGACAGAGACAGTTTTGCCATGTTAATCGCCAACGTCAAGGAGACTTGATAGGGCACGTTAAGAGAAAGAAGATGACTGCCAGGTGAAAAAAAAAGGGAAAATACCTGCACCTGGAAAATAGAATTATCCCTTGGAATTTTCACGACACAGGTCTCCCCCATTCTGCTTATGTATTTATTTTATTATTTTTTTCTATATTTATTTATACACTGTACGTTACATTTTCTTTTAATGTCTTCGATCTTTCAGCGTATTTTCTGTAATTCTTTTCAGTACTCTCATCTCTATCGGTTGTGTTGTAGCTACGTAGGGTTTTATTTCTTAGGCATTTGTCAATATAAGTCTTACACTGCCTATATAAATTCTTGACTTTATCTTAGATTTAATGTATCTGCTTCGCAATATAGTATTATGAAGCATCCTGCCAGAATATTTCCTTTTTGTACTTGATCTCCTACTTCTTTGTCTCGGTGTCCATAGCTGAATAGTGTAATTCCAAGCCTTTTACTTTTCCAAATAGCATGAGTATATGGCAAATTTTCCGATTAAACTAATAGACAAAAGATGAACTAAGATTATTATAGATTGGAGACCTTAAACCGATAAATTAAAACAGATCGTAGATAAGGAGAGTAGATGACCAAAAACACAATGCGGGTTCGAGGTGTATGCACATGGCTTAAGATAGAGAAAGATGGAAAATCGAATGAGCGGTCTACTTTTAATACTGTATGTCTGAAGGCAAATAGATAGATAGATGTAAAATGGCGCGGCCCGACTTAGGGTTTACTATATAAACCCCCATTATGATCAGTAATAGAAACTAAAGGCTATAAAGATACATTTATTAATGTCTGTGTAAAAATGGTTTAAAAATACTTAACATATGCTAACATGTAATTAATGCTGAAAGTCCAGCATATTATGATAATAACGTGATTATAGTTTTGGTAAGACAAAGTATCAGAAAACAAAAATATATTTCAACTTACGTCTCGGTATAAGTGTTTCTATAGCAAATAATTAGAAATAACTGGTTAATAAAATAAAGTTGTAAAAAAATGTATATGATTGTAAGGAAAAATAATAATTAGCATAACTCATAAATTATTATCAGTCTAAAAAAGAAGCGCAGTTACCACTTTTATGATATTGTAAATGCCCTTGCCTCGACATCTTACCGAGTGCTGTCCTTTGTATGAATGAACTTAGTTATCTAGAGGTAGTGAACGGCGATGATGCAGGGTAAATTAACCTGGGAATATTTTTACACGTTGGGTGCACCTTATTGAGAAATACTATAAATTAAATAATACTTTAAAAAGTTAATCTTTTAAAAACATTTTGGGCATTCGCGAGCATTTTTGTGGTAATTAATGACAAATGGTTAGCCAATTTTAGCGTAGAAGATAAGAAATTATTCTTTAAATAAGGTCATATGTTAAAATATTAAGAATAATAAAACAAAATACGAGGTCTAGTTATTAAATAATAAGACTGCTTATGAAAAGGAGTTTTGTTTTAAAAATTATTCTACAATCAAATGCTCTCCTTTAATATATTCCCCTTTCCTCATCAAACATTGTTCCATTTTCCGTTTCCATTTCCGTTTTTCGCTTCACCTCTTCCACCGACTCGAACCGGATTCCTTTTAAGGCAAACTTGATCTTCAGAAATAGGAAAAAGTCACAGGGTGCTAAATCAGGCGAGTACGGCGGGTGTTCAAGCACTGGAATGCCTCTAGTGGTTAAATAACGATTCATACACAGCGCGTTATGGGCAGGTTCGTTGTTCTGATGCAAGATCCACGAGTTGTTTTTCCAGAACTCCGGCCGTTTCTTACGAACTCGCTCTCGCAGCGTTTAAAAAACTATCAAATAGTAAGTTTGGTTTACTGGTTAAGCCTCTGGAACACATTCAGTTATTAAGATGCCATTAAAGTCGAAAAAAAGATAAGAATGACTTTAAATTTTAATTAAGACATCCTTACTTTTTTATTCTTGGCAATGCAGGAGTTTTCCAGTGCATGGATTGTCGGTTAGTTTCAACATTCTATTTGAATATCCAGCTTTCATCGCAAGTCATGATGTTTTCCATTAATTCAGGCTCTACATGTAACCTTTCAAGAAAATCTGATCAGATCTATTGACGGACGTAGTGTTTGGTCAGAGGTCAAATTTTTTGGGACCAACTTTTCACAAACGTTCTTCATGTTCAATTCGTCATGTAAAATTTTTCTGACAGTTCCTTTATCGGCGTTTGCAGTTTCAGTAATCATCCAAATGATTATACGACGATCTCCGTGCACAATTTTATTTATTTTGGTCACTGTTGAAACAGAAACAGGTCGACCTGGACTTTGTCATCTTCGGAGCTATTTCGGCCTTCAGAAAACCGTTTATACTACTCGAAAACACGCGCATAAGATAGAGCATTCTCACCATAGGTCTCTTTTAAAAAATTATAGCACTCAGTCGGAGTTTTTTTTAATTTACCGAGAAATTTGACATTAATCCGTTGCTCACATTTTTCGAAACACATTGTTATCGGCACAAAAAAAAACACGTTATTTTATAACATCTACAGAAAAAATACTAGTACAGCGACAAAAACATGTTTTCGTACTGGAATAGTAGACACTTCCAGTTATCCAATGCTGCATTCGTCTCCCACTCTTTCCGTCAAGGACGCCTTCTGCGCGCGTAGTCTCGTTATTTAATGGCCATACCTCGTATATAAAATATTTAAATACCCACTAAGTACTTTTCCAAATAAGCAATAATAAAATTTCATCAGGATTTTATGTTAAAATGTAAAATTAAAAACTTTTTATCATTAAAATATTTTTTATCAGACGAAATGTGTTCCATTGTTAAATTAAAGTCAAATCTTATACGTTTGGAAATTATTTCATAAGATCAAAATAAATATAAACAGGTTTAAAAGTTTTTTTTTAATTTTACGTAAAACATTTGACGAAATCTAAAATTTCCCTTATACCAAGCATTCTCAGGCAACTCTGTCGTTTGTATAATCACTTGACGAAACCTTTTATACCCCTTTTCCTTTGTCAAAGCAAATACCAAAGAAATCGAATTCACTTACCTGAAATACTTGATAAGCGTGAGAAGCTGAGCTGTTGGTCGTTGTCGAGGATCTTTGCTTACCAGCCTGGACGCTGCCTCTTGAATTGGCACTGGAATTCTTGGTATTAAGTTGTGAACCTGATCGTCCAGCTGTAAACAAAGAAGTAAATAAATATACGTTTTTAGTAAGAACAGTGAATTAGATTTCTTTTTCTTTTTAAAAGTGATATTGATTCAGAAAATAGAAACTGTAATGAGAAACTTAAAAATTATATATTAAATAAAATATATTAAAAATTTATTAATTATACTTTAAAGAGAAAACATTTATTGGTATCTGAAACACTTATGTACTGTACATAAAATACAATTATCAGTTGTTTGGTTTTTAAAGAAAGTAATATTTTAATCCAGATTTAGCCATACGACTCACACTTCTTCTAAGGGGAAAATTCACTCATTTAGATACCTACAGTATCAAAAGGATGGAGCTCTGGTGGGATCCTTTCCATGTTATCGAGTCCTATGTGACTTAGTACGTCGGTATATTTCGTAGATATTCATTTAGACCCAGCTTTTTTATGTTTTCTATAAGGTTCTTCGAAATGACTTCAGTAGTAGAAAGAATAATAGGTATCGTCTGCGTACTTTCCATTCTCCATTGTTTCCTTATTTGTATTTCCAGATCTCTGTGCTTGGCGATCTTTTCGTTGTACTTAACATGCAAATTATTATTGTTAGGTATCGCCACATCGATTAGAGTTGTTTGTCTTGTTAGTTTATTAACTAGCACGAGATCTGGTCTATTATGTACTACAGTTTGGTCTGTGAGCACAGTGCTATCTCAGTATAGCTTGCAGTTGTCATTTTTAAATATACTCTCAGAAACGTATTGATAATATGGGAGATGGTTTGTAGAAGTCACAGTTTAAAAGCTATCTCTTGATGGAGGATCTTCCCTACTGAGTCATGCCGTTCCTTATATTCAGTTGCAGCAAATGCCTGGCAGCCTCCGGTAAGATGTTGGATCGTTTCTTGGGCTTGACATCCATATCGGCATTTGTCGTTTTGGACCTGAGGGTATTTGACGATATATTTCAGGTAATTTTTGGTTGGTATAATCTGATCCTGAATGGTGAGTAATGATCCTTCTGTTTCAGGGAACATCTTTCCTGATGTCAGCCAATAGTTCGACGCTATATTGTCGACATGGTCTTGACTGACTTTTTTCGGATGTCGCATGTGCAGAGGTTTACTCATCCAGATGCGCATTTTTTCGTTCTTAACAGGATGGTGTATGCGCATTTCTTGTTCCCTCAGGTTGATCGGTGTTGTGTCATCTACTGCGCAAATCCCGCGATGAAGAGTAGATGTCTCCGCCTGTACCTGTAAATAAGTTCTTAAACTATTAATCTGTTTATCTAATTGCTCGCTTATATCAATAAGTCCTCGTCCTCCTAAATACCGCGGTAATGTCGTTATTTCTACTGCACTTGTGTTACAGTGCAGTAGGAACACACCTCACAAAGGCACGAGGATGGTGTTTTTGTGCCTTTGTGAGGTGTGTTCGTACTTTTCTCTGAAGAGTTTCTATATCCGTTTTAGTCCACTTAATAATGCCAAATGAGTAGCTAAGCGCGGAAAATGCGTAGGTGTTTAATGCATTAAACAAATTTTTACTATTAAGATGTGAGCGGAGTAGCTGTTTTACCCTCCGTATGAACTCTAATGTAGTAGCTGTTTTACCCTCCGTATGAACTCTAATGAGTCGGTCAGATAGCTCAGCGGGCTGTGCGGCTGCCTCTCATTCGCTTCACTGTCGAATGGTTTAGTGGATGTGGGTCCAGCCCAAGCTCGGTGTACAGAAAACAAATAGTCTAACGCAGCAGTTTAAAATTCTAGATGAATCTGCGGCTTAGACTAGGATATGCTGGGTTCTGATCGGCCTATGGTGGAGCAGTACGGCAAGAGATAAGGGCTTGCGGCTCGGTGATACTCCTCCATAGATCCCTACCGGACGGGCGTAACGCCTAAAAAAACCGGATATATATATAAACTCTAATGTTAATTAGATTTTCATTTTGTTTATGGTAAATTTTCCGCTCTTGCGTTACTCCTAGATATTTATATATGTCATTTTCGCCCATAGCCTCGATGTTTTGGCCATTTTGCATATCAAATCCCCCGGGCCGAACCTTCTTCTTGACAATATTTAGTACACGACATTTGTCTAACCCAAAGTGCATACTGATATCATTTGAAAAAGTTTCTACAGATCTTAGCATTTGATCTAAGTGAGTTCGAGTGGAAGCCATTAGTTTTAAATCATCCATATACAACAGATGATTAAGCTTCGCCACTACAGTGTTGTTGCTTTTAATTAATGCTAAAACCTGAGTCAGTGGAGTTTAATAGCTGGGATAGTGGGTTCATCGCTAGACAGAACCACTCTATAAACTCAGCGAGTCTCCTTGGAATAGACCGCGGTTAAATTGCGATATTTTTCGTTTCAATATTGTTTTCACCAGGTATTTGAAGGTGAATTTTAGCATTCCAATATGTCATTATATGTCTTAAGAAGGTCACAATATTATCATCAACTTTATATATTCTTAATATATCTACCAGTCATTTATGCGGTACTGAGTCAAAGGCTTTCTTATAGTCAATAAACGCAGTGAAGAGGTTTCTTATTTTGGTGTATGCCTGGTTAGAAATGACTGAGTCGATAATAAGTTGTTCTTGGCAACCCATGGAAACCTTAGCGCATCCTTTCTATTGAGGTTCTATAATATTATTTACAGCGCAGTATTGGTAGATACGCTGGGCTACACAGGATGTGACCAGTTTATACAGAGTTGGAAGACACGTAATTGGGCGGTACTTGGCTGGATCTTGGGTATTATTTTGATCCTTCGGTCTTAAGTAAGATGTTCCCTGAGTTAGGAATGATGCTATTTCCTTTGGATTAGAAATATTACGATTAATTAGTGTCAACAAGCACTCATGAGCACTTCAGTACTTCTTTAGCCAGAAGTTTTGAACTTCGTCTGGTCCAGAAGTTTTCCAGTTATAAAGGTCTTGGATGATATTAGAGACTTCTTTTGTGGTGAAGGGTTCATAAACAGTTGTGCGGTAGTGTTGACAGCTGTTCGTCGTATCCTTTATCCATCCAGCACTGGTGTTAAGAGCAGCTGGTGTGAAAAGTGGATTTCCCCAAAACTCCTAAATTTATTCTTGGCTTGGGTATGATTTACTGGCACTTTCGTCAGTGGAGTTAAGTTTCCGGTAGAATGACTTCTCGGCATGCTCAAAAAGCGCATTTTTACATTTCCGGCTGTTACTATCCTTGTACCTCCTTAGTCGACCTGAATAAATAAAGAGTTTTTGTTTTAATGTATCCAGGCACTGTTGAGCTGTGATAGTTACCGGATCATATTGCGAGTGTCTTGCAGTGCTTAGCATTATTTGATCAGCTCTTTTAATGACTTTTCTACTTGTTGTTCCTCGTATATATTCTGTTGTTTGACCAATGTCCCTACGCAATAATTCAATCTTGTTTAGAAGCCTTTTCTCCCAGGGTGCAACTTTGATATCTGTCCTTCCGGCATTGGTAACCCGTCGTGTTCTGATCTTAACTCCCATAACATTAGATGTGGCTGCTGCTGCACAGTAAATAAGAATGTGCAAATATTCCAGCGTATGGGCTTCTACGACGTAATTGGGCAGGACTTGTTTTGGATAGTATTTATGATTTGTAACAGAGCACTTGGTTTTTAAGAACAGTTTATTTTTAATAGCGGTGATGTGCTAAGTGGATTTGTTCCATTAAACTTTTGTACAGCCCGTGCCATTTCGGGTGTAGTGTATTATCAGGTCGAGTTTCTTCTATGGTTAGCTCAGGAATCTGCTCATGTATTTCATTTGGGACTTGATCCACATTTACCTCTTGGTAATTAATTTCCTGCTTGACTTCGCTTCTAATGATATTGCGTTTTGCCTCTGGGACAAGACTGTTTCTTATAATTACCCGATATTGACCAGCAACTCGTTGTTCAGTTATTTGAATTTCTAAGTACTTCCTGCAAAATTCGGCATAGAGATTTTGTCGATACCCGATCGTTTCTTGACCGAGGTTTTTCACCTGGTAATAGAAGTTTATGGAAAAGTAATTGTTTCGCTTATGGACGCAGACCATTTCATGCGCTGCCTCGGTCATCCCGCTTGGGTGAGCGCCGGCTGATGTTCCAGCGCAGCAGCTTCAGTGAGTGGAGTTCTTGTTGTTGCTTAGCTCGCTTGTGGTTGTTCTTGCTGTTGTTGGACTGTAACTCATTGTATGCCAGGGGCCCGCCTCCTTAACACCCTGCCACCGACGTCCCGCATGCTGTGATGTCCAGCGCCGGCTCAATACGTGCCCTGCCGATCTCCAGGCAGCGAACCCAAATATAAATCATTAATCACCATTTTCATGGGTTTGCATTTTATACCTACTGCCAGGTATCAGTTTTTGTTCCACGGCAAGTATCCCTGCTACCCTCTGGGTATCAGTGCTAAGAATACCCAAAAAGCATTCCCCATTTGCAGGGAGCCACGCCTCATAGAAGAACTGACAAAAACTATTAAAAATATTATAATTAATAATATTATTATTATTATTATTATCAATTATTCTTTGCAGAAAAGTTAGGTAGTATTGTCTTCAGTATAAAAATAAGTTAATCAAAATATGTAAAAAAGTGTTGTAAGAAAATATTTAGACATAGACACATAGACAATCAATCTATTTGATATGATAAATTATTTTTTTCTATCAAATCTAATAACCTAAATAAAATTGACTGATTTTACCAGTCTTTTTCTAAGAACATATTATCTTAAATGGATAAAGAACTTATCTACATCAATTATTCCAAACGATATTTTGTGTTTTACCACTTTGGATAATAAATTTTGTATTAAACCTAAATCACGAAAAGATCTTTAAATTAAATAGCTCCTTGCTGACTAAGAACATATCATTAGTTCATTACTGTCTGAATTAGTACAAAATCTAGTGCATGCAATAATTAGTGGATCGTACACATTGTTTTCTTCTGTCCCTACCTCCTTTCTATAAAGAACACCTAATGCAATAATTGTACCATCGACTG